CTCGCGTCTCAAAAGAATAAAAAGTAGCCTATGTGACATATACCAATACACACAGCGCCATCTATACCAATACTTTGGGATTTCCTCGGGAATATCAATTTTTCCGGGTTAAAAAGTACCCTATTATTTAATCCGGACTTCTAACTTACGTCTGCAAAAATTCAAAGCAATCGGTTGAGTAATTACGGCGTGAAGGTGGAACAAACAAACAAACTCACTTTCAGATTTATAATATTAGTAAGGATAGTAAGGATTGGCAACTGAATCAAGTCTACCATATTATTAAAAGCAATTTGCCACCATTAACCAGGGCGCTGGACTTCAAACGTGTCTGAAATTGATCCAAAGTGCAGAAAGCGGTTCTGAATCTGATACCATCTGTTTGGCGATTCGGTTGGCATACAGTTCAAGGGAACCAGTGCAGCCATGTACAAAATATCATATTGGTTTTGGCAACATTTCAAATTGTTGTTTCTATGTCCAAATTGGTCGTAGCATTTGTGATAACGCGCGAAGTTATAACTACGGAATAAATAAAAAATATATCGAGATTGCTAAAGGTGTTAGTAGTGTTACGCCGAGTTTTCTGCCTCAACTTTGTAAAAATCGACTGGAGCGCCACCTAGTAGGCCCAATGATGAATCAAAATCATCCATTCCTGAGAATTGAAGAATCCTAGTTCACCTGAAGTTGGTCAAGTGGCGTGAAAATGTTCACTCGCAGAAGAATTACTTATTTTAAAAGCATGTTTAACACTGCCGGCAAAAATCTGTAGAGGTAAAATCCGCTATGTCCCCAATGGCGTTAATCATGCTTTACCTATTTACCGATTCAGTTTCTAGAACCTTCATCAGACATGTTTGTTATAACTTGGTTCAGATTCTCACCTACAGACTGCAGCTATTGTTAGCCATGTTTACGAAGACATATCCTGAATTCGCTGAACCACTGAATCTTATGTGATACCTGTGGCCTTTGTTTTTGCTTAGCAATATCTATTCTCATGTGGTATCAAACAGACTCTCTGATATCACGCATTAATTACTAAAGGTATGATAGCTTCGCTGTCCGCACCTATTAAGATTCTATATTGCATTACGATTTGTAGCACTGTAAGTTACAATGCTGCGCCCTAACAGGGTATTGTACGGAACTGGTTGTATAAAATACTTTTTATTATATGTACATTGTGCAATATGAATAAATCTATATCTACCTATATTCTATATCTATATAGAGGTATATAAAAGAAAGTCGTGTTAGTTACACCACTTATAACTCAAGAACGGCAGAATAGATTTGGCTGAAAATTGGTAGGGAGGTAGCTTAGAGCCAGGAGACCGACATAGGATACTTTTTAACCAACATTTTTTTTTATTTTTTACCGAAAATCACGAACGGGAACGGGTAAAAACAAGATTTTGCGTACGAAGTCGTGGACAGAAGCTAGTAAATAAATATAATAATATAAGAGTACCTACATCTTTTTATTTTTGAACGTTATCTGTTGTATAACTCATAGCGACCCGCCCTGGCTTCGCACGGGTGCAATATGCATGTGTTCCATATAAACCTTTTTAAGAATCACTCTATTAAAAAATACCGCATCAAAATGCGTTGCGTAGTTTTAAAGATCTAAGCATACATAGGGACAGACAGACGGCGGATAGCGACTTTGTTTTATAATATGTAGTGATTTTGTTATCCTTATTCCAAGTTAACTCTTTGAGTACCGTCATTATAGACACAATTAAAGAACAATAGGTTGCGGTCACCGGTGTCCTCGCGGTGTTTGACAATTTAATTGGCAGTGTTTGCAATATGTTACCTTGTTCATTCTCCCCCCTTTCTAGTCATCACACCGTACGCGTATGATCCTTTCTTTAATGTTATCCCTCTCACAATGCATACATCTCTTTTTGATCTTCTTGTCCTTTCCGTCTAATTATAATACTCGTTTTGGCATATTGTCATATCATAAACGATATGATTAGGCATATAGGTATTTCAGTTTTTATGATAATTATGCGTTATTATTTCTCTGAAAAATAAAAGTTCACAAGTAAAGAAAACTGAGAATAGCAAACCTTCATGCCATATGACTGGAACTTCCACCTTTCACAACTCTTTTAACTGATGTTTTAAAACGAAGGTGACTATACGAGGTCATAGAACATATCATTAGTTCCTTATCCACTATATAATTTTCACCATGTAAATGTCACCTAAAGTTCAATGTAATTTAGCGTTTCTACTGCGAAAACCAGTCTAACTGCTTATGAAATAAGGGTGAGAATCGACACTGTGTTCTTATGAGAATAAGCAGATGGGAGTATCGCAGCTGCAATGTCAGCTAGTTCTTAGGTGCTAATGACTTGCAATTGTTTTAATTAAAAAGGACAGTTCATAAACACCATATTACTTATGTAGAATAATAGAATAGAATAAACGTTTATTTCTCTAGTTAAATAAATATATTATAACATCATCACTAAGTGCATTTGATATGTATTTTTGGTACATTTTGTCCGGGGAGGGATCTTTTGTTGTCCGGGGAGGGATCTTTTGTTGTCCAAGGAGGGATCTTTTGTCTTATTACTTATGTATCTTCCGCTTAAGAGTATTTCAAAATTTGTTAAAAAAGAAGTACCTACATTTTTGTTGACCTCTACTAACATGGTAAGTTTATAGCGAAACAGTCTTGTTACTCAGTATTTAAAATCGAAAACAAATACTTAGTCAGATCCCAGTTTAGAAAAGGAGATATATCTAACAATAGGGATGAAAATAAATAAAAATGTAGTTAGTCCGTCAGTTAGGGAAGAAAAAATATTAGACACGTACTTTTTATTTTCTTGTAAAATAAAATGATACTAAGATATAACGAATCAAAGTTCAGGAGTGGGGGCTAAAACGTCATTTCTACGTATAAAATGTACATAGAAGTGACGTCACGCGACATTTTAAATCAATATATCTTCAAAACTATTCGTTTCCGTAAATAAATTAAAAATACGTAACTAGATTATTTAAAAACATTTTAAATAATCTAGTCGCGGAGAACCTAACGGGTTACCGGGGCTCCGGCTTGACGTGCAGGAGAAGGAACGGGGTGGTTTTTAGTCAGTAAGAGTCTGACACTCCCTCCCGCCTCACCCAGGCGGGAGCAGCCATTCGATGATTTTCTCTCTATAAAAAAAGACGGACATTAAAATAAAAGTTGGTCATCTACCCTATTGGAACCAACAATGAAACGAGACGGAATCTTTTCAAGTTCACAACATACTGTTGTTAAAATACACCTGTTCGAACTTTACTGTTGACGTCACGGACAGTGTAGGGTCGGGCAATATCCGACGACGATTTGTCTGCACCGTCCCGTCTGATAACAACGTCGGTTGCCATGGAAACCGACGACAAAGGGATAATGCTTTCATGTATAGATAGTGGATATAGATAGCTACCTGAGTTCAGTTAGCACCTGACCTCTCTTGCAACGTGTCTAATTGTCGTCCCACCTAGTAATGAAAATGACGGAACTGAGAGTGCAATAGTACTTATGGTCTGTATTATCTCTTGCATATACTGATCTAGTTGGAAACAGGTGACTGCCGTGATAGAAGTCGAGTTGCGAACATTTCATTTAGTTTACTTTTACTTCTAAGTAAGCAGAACTGTTGGCTACCCACCTGTTACTATCTACCTAACTGACTATTGAAATGAAAAATGAAATAATCGAAATTGTTAAGAGCCTTAAAAAGGTTTTAGAGTGATCAGTAAACCTCTTTTAACAATGACTTGAGAGCATGCTATTTTTAATCAGATTTCTAACTAAACTTTCCATTAAATCGCAGAGAATGTTAAATATTATATTCATCAGATATGTATGAATACCAATGTGTTTGAATCTAGATAAACAGATGCAATGAAAGCTAACAACCCACAATGCAATGGCCCAGTTACTAGAGATTCAATTGAAATTGTTATTGTTCATTGCACAGAATTGAAATAGATTCCTCTAACCAATTGTAAACAGACCAGAGGACATATTTCATGTATGTGGGCAGATGCGTTGCATTATTACTTTCAAAATTCCAGCGAATATTATTAACATTATCTTACAAATCATTCATTAACGAACGATTCTAATTAAGGTTATTTAGGTCGCCATTTCCGAATAAATTACCGATATTCTGATCATCGATGCTCAATTTATTAGTTCAGATTTTGATCCCTATTTAATTATTACCTTCGTATAAACGCGAACCATTGAACAGTGAAATTGCAAAAAGTTTATTCTTATGAGCACGGAATGTTGGAATGCTCTAGTAATGGCGTGGTATTGCCGTATTGCTTATCTGTAAATCGTTTACATTTTATGCCTCTTGTACGCCATCTTGGAAATTGATTTCGAATTTTCTCTTTTTAACCAGATACCTAAAGACAATTTTTGTACATAAGTAGGTATTAGATACATCATGAAAAAATGGTTGTTGGTTTATTAAGGTAGATGCCTAATTTTTATTTCAATGTCCGTCTGGTAGATTATTTTAAACCATTAAACACGTATTTCTTATTTTCTTACAGAAACGAACAATTTCGACGATATATTGATTTGAAATGTTGCGTGACGTCACTTCTATGTACATTTTACACGTAGATATGACGTTTTAGCCCCCACTCCTAAACTTTGATCCGTTTTATTATAAGACAAAATAAAAAAAAACGTGTCTAATATTTTTTAATTATCAAACTTATAGACTAATTAGATTTTTAATTTCCATGCCCTGTCATCATCCCAATTGACAATGTTCGTGTAGAACTGGTTCTACCAAAACAAGTTTGAAAACTAAAGAGAGCGAGACATGAATGTGATGTGGTTTGATAGGGAAGAATCATCAACATACATGCACTCTCAACTTTATTTTCGAGTTGATAATTTATGTTATTAATTCGTCATTGATCGCTGTTAAACATTGAATTCATGTGTCTTCTTTCCTTGTTCACAGCAATGGAAGGCGGCGCCTGGTGCGCTCGCGATATCTCGCTGCGCGCGCAAAAGAAGTTTCTGTCCCGCGTGGGCGGCGCTGCCAGCGCACGCGCACTCGTGCTCGATGAGCATGCCGCTAAACTGCTGGACCAGGTATAATAATAATCCTAATGTATATTTAACAAAGTTCTAATAAACTCATAGATTTCTGGGATACCCGCCAAGTTTCTAGTATAACGGTCAATCTGCCTTGGTCATGTACCAAATGCCTCTTTTAGTAAATATAAAGTATTGGAATTAGAACTTATTTTTATTATCAAGCTTTTGGTTTTGGCTCACCCTGACAATAGGCTCACCCCCTATTACATGGGACTCATAACATAAATAGTGAAAAGCAGGTGTTACATTGTACAGTGGCATTAAGTGCCGAAATGTGCACCTCAAAGGCATGATGTTATGTTATGCATTTGGTTTTGTTACTATATTTGGTCTTTTCAATTCCAGTTTTTGACGGTGCTCCGCGAGCGTCTGGAGAAGCGTGAAGCAGAGAAGTTGGTGAAGCACGTGATCAAGTCGGCAGTGAAGCTGGGCGTGTTGCGCAGACACGGTCAGCTGTCGGCTGCTGACGAGCGCGCATTGGCTGCGTTCCGGTCCAAGTTCCACGTGAGTAGTCAGAACTCAGAATGTTCTAACATTAAGGGATAGACAACGAACGATGGCTTACCTTTTTTTGGCCTCTACTAACGATTTTGGTGTATCCAAGAAGCATCAGGAGAATAACATCTCTCTATCTAAATTGTCACTAAAATTCAATTGGTGATAAGTTTCAATTGTTGCTCTGTGGTGTTCCAGACTGTACTGATGGCGGTGGTGTCGTTCTGTGAGGTGGACTTCTCATACGATCGCGGCTTCCTCCAGGATGCACTGCGCGAGTCACACCAGTCCCTCAAGTAAGCAAGCATTCATGAATTACATATTTTGGACAGTAGAAAGTGTTTTGGTTGCACTTTTGAATACATCTATAGACTTTATCATAGTCAGCCTCTTACTATCATAATCAACTGAGAAAAGACCTCGTCTCGTACGAAAGATGAAAAAGTCTAATGACCGTGATTGTCATACTAATTTACTATTAAAATTTCCAGAGCCGTGGTAGAGCGACACCTGACTGACAAATCAGTGTCTAGGCTCGCAGGAGTGTTCGCGATCGCGTCTCGTGGCGAGCTGCTGGACGCCCTGTTCGCAGGCCAAGTGGACGAGGACGTGCTGAAGCTGTCCAGGATGCTGCGCAAGGAACTGGACCGAGGCCTGCTATAATCACACACACTCACACACCCTGTGCCGTCCTTACCCAAAGCTAGATATACCAACGTATCAAAGTATTTGGACGATTTTCCTCGAACGAGGCTTCATGTCGACGGGACAAGCTCCCGAGTACTTCGACTATGGGAACACTAACAATATCGTTATCTCCACAAATGGAGATTTGATTTTTTATTATAAACAATATTTCTAGTTAGATTTGTATGTACGTCTGTGCACAGTCGATGCCGGCTTTGGGCTTGACAATAATACATCAAATTGATACTAAGTACCACTTTTGTAGGTGCAAGAGGTCCCAGAATTAACGTTGGTCCTTGCAGGAATAATTTTGGTTTTAATACTATTGAAAAGGAATAAAAAATCACCTTCCCTGAAAATTGGTGTAAAAATCTTGCTCCTAAAATAAAAAAATGTCAGTACAAAGTCGGCAAGCGACGTAGCATATCGCTTCAGCGTTCGTTTCACAGCACGTCAATACAATGCCTTCTGAATGCTCTCTCTCCAGATTTGTGTGGTTCCAAACCATTTGTAGCGATCTACAAGACTATTTATGAATACTCAGTGAGTTTATATTTATATATGTTGGGGATTTTCATTAAATTAACCAGTGTCTAGTGTCTTTGTGTTTTTATCGAGCATTGTGACATACTGTTTTAACTTTGTACCTACTTTAGATACTACAGATAACATATTCTGTTTAATACTTCCATAATGTTTGACTATGTGCTTCAGTCTGTGTCTTGTCTTCGACTTCAAGAAAGCATCTGTGGGTAATCTAATCATTTATGGGATTCAATGAAATTATATCATTGTTGAGTAATCAACTTTTTGTAATCAAAATAATTCTTTGCAACGTAAACTTGCCTGCCGTTACTCTGCCATTTGAAAATGAAAAAAGAAAGCATGTCTATGTCAAAACACATTGTCTTGCCCAGTTTACGCCTTTTAATACACAGCATTATTAATTTAGAGTGCATTTAATAGTTTGTATATAAAATCATGTTATTAATGTATACTCGAATGATTTTTGTAATTATATTTTAGTTTTTAGACATTTTTATTTTGTTATAAGGACCGTTACCATTTAAACGAGTCGTTCTTTTTTAAAATATCGATAATGAGGTTTTAAATATCTATTGTGTTCGGATCCATAGACAATTTTATCTGTCAGTTTAATTTAAAAAGTCATGTATGGGAAATGTTTATCTATGGATTTGGATGTAAAGAAAATGTAATCTACTCTACTTTTAACTAATGTAAACGAAAAAATAGACTAAAAACTATTTAAGCCTACACAATATCTACGAATATACGGAATATTACAACGCCCTATTGCATTACTGAATAAAATCACAAATTCATGAACAATTTTAATTCAGATATTTTCAAAAAAGTTTTAAAATTATTTAGTTGTATTAATTAATTTGTTAAGTAATTAAAAATGAAACGATCTTCGCTTTCCACTGATTCCATGTAATCTTGATAACTATACTATAAGAACTTACATAATTATAGTTTTTGTACAAAATCATAATCACAAAACTAAACCATTTGGATCAAAACAAAAAAAAAAAAAACAAAAAATGAAAATTTTGATAAAATAAAGTACTTTGGACCAAAATGATTAAATATCTACACAGTTCAAACATATCTGAACTAGAATTCATATCTTATTTTATTAGCAATAAAAACTAATTTGAATAGTCATAGTGTGTAACTTGTATTGTTTTGTATAAGTATTTAAGTCAGTAGTGCGTGTACACTCACTCTAGAACGCACATCTCTAACTCTCTTGCCTAATTGTATCACTGTTTAGTGTTTTATACTATTTGTGTTGGTGTTATGGGGTTTCCCATTTAGAGAAGGCACTTAGTCAACAATAAAAGTACTGAAATAATAATTTTAGTTACAAAATCGGTGGTAAAAGAACAGTTTTAATTTATCGATAAAAATTAATTGAGATGCTGTCCCAACTCTAAAATAGAGTCTTAATATTTTGTACCTTTGTATTGTTTTCAATGTTGAAAATTCTGTTATTATTTTATATAACGTGAGGTTTTTATAAAATTGCCATAAATCTAAGACACATTTTTAATATTAATAAGAAACTTCGTCATTTTAATCTAGTCTTCGCTTCACTTAGAAATTTATCGATAGAATTTTTAAATCTTTGTGTACATCTCTAAATGGGAACCACCAAATGTCATAGCTAGATGAAATCAAAGAGACGTCCAAGTAGGGATTGTATTAAAAAAGACAATATCGATGTGTAATTTTATAAATGTTGATTCCTAGACGAATCTCTACGAGATGTATCTGAAATGAATGTTTAAAGTTAGTTGTTTATAAAACTGGTGTGATTTATATGTTAGCGTACTTATATGTTAGGAGTTAGTTTCTCAAATTGTCACTGTTTCATTGTACTTTACGGAGGCAACGTTCACCTTGGAGCAATAGTGATGTTCTTGTTTTTATCGATAGTATTTAAATGTCAAATTTTGTTGAAGAATTTTCTGCAAATAATTTTATTATTTTGAAATCAATAGTTCTTGTAACTTGTATTTTAATTGTAAAGGTGAACGTTGTAACTTTGTGTTAATATTTTCCTACATATGAAAAGATTTTTAATACAATGTCGATATAAAAAATGGATGGAAATTGTATCATATTTGATGGAGTCGGGCTTTAAACTGAGACAACGCGTTTTTATGATTTTCTTAAACAAAAATGTAGTGGTTTTACTCTCACGATGCAGAATTTGTTTTAAATAGAACACTTTTAATGCAAATAATACGGAAAAGTTTTAATGCCACAGTAAGAACTATGTCGAAATTGGCCTGAATGATAAATTTTATAGTAATAATTCAAGTAGAATTATTTTCAGTAGCACATATTTTTCGAATTGTCATCGTTATTTATTTATTGTTAATTCGTTTTAAATGTTGAAGAAGAAAAACAATATTTTATTTTCGATTTTGAAATTTTTTGAATCAGTAAGAGTCAATAATTTCTACAAATAATGCCCAGTTGGTTTTTTCAGTCCAATTTCAACATTTTATTAAAGTTTTAAAAAGTATAAAGCACATTAAGCACTTACATGACATTTGAAAAGATCGCAGCGCTGTCACTAGTATTTCATTGCGTGACTCGTGACGCCGGTATAAATGTAATAATTTTTGTTATAAGCTGTGTTATGTAATAAGATTTGATATCAAATATACAATTGATAAGAGTTTTTGTGTTATTATTTGACAATCAATTATTTAATTATAAATTAGGTTGGTATGTGACCGTAATCTCTGCGAAATGTGCACAGATTAATAAAAAAGCATATATACATACGGTCGAATTGAGAAACTCTTGCTTTTTTTTAAATTGGTTAAAAAGAAATTGCATGAATATACCTACATACCCAAGTAAATTGTGCATGTTATGTATTTTTTGTACGGGCAAAGCTCAAAAGAAAACCAGTCGAAGTATAATTGACAAAAAATATTTATTAAGTACTTATCAACTAGACAAATTACAATTTCGTACAAAAATAAATCGTATACGTCAAGTATCTCTACATTTGTGTGAGATAGACACGAAATAGAACAAAAAATTGTAGTTAAGTCTATTTAACTACTATTTAAAAAAAAATATTCAGTAATATTTAAAAGAAAAAACAACTTGGAATCAGGAAATCGTTTAAACTAGACATACCTAACCTTCTTTTATAAGAGAAACGACCAAACAAACGACAATATTTAAAAAAAGAAATGTACCATAATGTCAGGTAAAACAAAAACAGAAATAATTAAAGTTCTTACTTTTCAATTATATGGATGACATAAAAATTATTTTTTTTTTGGGAGAGCCATGCATGAATAGACCGGCTCGACCGGAGTGTTACCACGTCCTCACAGAAGACCGACGTGAAACAAAGCTTGCGTTGCTTCGTGTGAATGAGGTATCAGAGGTCCAATTACCAACAACCCTGAATCCCCAACAATCCTCAAATACCTAATCCCAAAAGGCCGGTAACGCATTTGTAACGCCTCTGGTGTTCTAGGTGTCCATGGGCGACGCCGATTGCTTACCATCAGGTAATCCGTCTGCTCGTTTACAAGTTTATCCCATAAAAAAACATAGTTATTACTAAATTAAAGATGGGAAAAATAAATATAAAGAACTTAACATTTAAGATTTACATCAAATATTTTTTAAACTAATCAAGTAGGTTAGTAACTAAACCAAAGGACATTGAAAAAAATGTCATCGTCTCAATTTACTCATTCATGATATTATCTTCAAATTCGAACTCATATTTGACAGGGTGAGGCACTATTCGTGGCATGTTTTCAATAGATTCGCTGGACATACCTTCAGCTTGCAGCTCGTACCTCGTGAACAACGTGGCTATTTCTAACTTTAACATAATTTGCATACGAGTAGGTAATTTTTTGAAAGTCTCCGCGTAACTTAGGAAGAAATGATCTACACCGTCTAAAGATTCCTTTTTAACCTCACTTTCATTTGATCCTTCTTGTAAATTGTCTTCTGGGGTTTTTGGGTCATTGTTCTCTGGACTAGGTTCCCGAATTTCTTTTGGGGTGTAATTATAAGCCCTTCTACATGTTGTGCTGACGCAGTCGTCTAAAAACTTCACTTTATTCGCCCAGGGCCAGTGTTTGTATTTCTTGTAAGCTTCCACGAAACCTGGTTCCGAAGTTTTCTTGAATTTAGCGTAATTGTCCTTCAAACCCTTCCATTTCGCGCTCCAAATATGCGCTGAAAATGAAAACTGAATTTAGTAACACATAACAGTATAAACAATCATAATACCTTCACTCCCCAAAAAGTTGTAGGCAGGGCCGGATTTAGGGGTCCAGAGGCCTCGGGACAACAAAGGAGTGGAGGCCCCCTTGCCCCAAATTATTTTCCAGATTGAGATCGAGGACGCTCGAAAACAACCGAGGACGCTCGAAAACGATCGAGGACGCTCGATTGAT